AAACACAGGATTTCAGGCCTGAATCCCACTTCCAGCTGTCATGGAAATTTCCGGTGCTATTCCAAAGGAAAATTCCATTTTCAGCCTTCCATTCAGAGCCCTGCTTAGGAAAGGGGCTGCTTTGAACAGCAATAGTGAGGAACAGGATATCAGTCCGTGCTTATTTAGTGAGATTTGGAAATCTGTGAGTACATACATATTCTGTCCTTTTGGGGTGGAGGGTGAAGCTCATCCTAGAATAAGAGCGAAGTTTCAGGCAGGTGCCTGGTGGGATTTAAAACAAAAAATATATTGGTTCTTGCACAGTCTTGCTTTAAATGACTTGTTCCCCATCTTGCTGCAGATTAGAGTCCTGGTTCTATGATGTCCTGCTCCAGTCACAAGACCTGAAATTATATAGTCACCTGCTTAGAAATATGTCTTTAAAAAAAATTAAAAATTAAAAATCAGACACTTCCATGAGTACCAGAAACCAACCACTGCTGTCTCCAGACCCTGGGCATTATTTTTATAATTTATGTGCTCTGAGAGCACAGATAAAATAGAATGGTAGGACTCCCAGACTTTAAAGAATGTATGCAGCTGATTCTAACTCCTTTCAGCAGTCTCAAATCCTGTGATGATTTAGCCACAGAAATTTGTGTTAATTTTACAAATTAATGAATGAATAACTTTTAAAGAGATACATTCATGTGATGTATTCCACAACATCAGAAGTGCTGTAAGATTTTATAGTGGGGGGAAAAAAAAAAAAAAAAAAAAGGTGTTACAATCTCATATTCACATGCTACACTGTATAGGCATCATTTCCCTGCTAAGGAGACAACTTGTTCTTTAGTCCAAAACATTTTATTTTAGCAACATATACGATACAAAAAGAATTACTAAGTGTAGTTGTAACCGTGTTGCTAAAACTGCAGCGGTTCACACTAAATAAATTAAGAGTATTAGAAGTGTCAGAAATTTAAACCTCCAAAATAATGCAATGTGAGATACCAAACTGAGCAAGTATTCAAACAGCATCTCTGTGGGCTTTGAGAAAAGCACCCAGACCCAGTTAGAACCAGTTATCGAGGTCTGTAGAGTTGCTTTTTGACTTTCCTGTATATGTTACTAGATATTGAATATTTTAAATGTTTCCCCTTCTCATTGTTTGAAACTGAAATGTGATTTTTTTTTTTTTTTTGTTAAATATCCTGATGCTTCTTTGGCTCCACTTAAATCAAAGGCAAGTAATTCTTGTAATAAAATGACCATTATTTTCTATAATTTTTGAAGAATGATCTAGTAAAATACATACTTTTCTCTGCATTCTTTCAGCATATAATCTAACATTTTTACTGCTTGTATGATGATCGAACTCCTGTTTTTAATACCACTTATTAATTTCTATGGTTAAAACTGTGCAGAGCTTAGGCTCTGGAATAGATAGTGGATATTGTAGGAATATTTCTCGCCTGTGGGAAGCAAGACAGGAGCTGACAGTTTAACAGTGGGTGCATTTGTGGGTGAAATTCAGCACTGGGAAGGGGGCCAGTTCCCGGTGATTTCATTCTTCAGCACAGAACATTAATGCAGGAATCTTGCTCCAGCCAAGGGAAGCCAACTCCCCTGACCCTAATCATCCCAAATGAGTCCATGGCTGGGAGCCACAAGACACCGAGTCCACAGCCTGGGGCGGCAGGGACAGGGAAAGCAGGGATAGGGAACTCCGGGAGCAGCTGGCCCCGGTTCCTGCAGCCAGGGGGACTGGTGCGGAGGAGGCTGGGCAGGCTGCCCTAGGACACTGCCAGCTCTGCATTCCCCCACTGCCACCATCCTGGGTGAGCGCTGAGCCGGGCCCCTGTGCCTCAACTGCTTGGGGAATCACAGCCTGACCTCCCTGGTGTGGTTTCCCTTATGTGCTCTGCTGGAATATTTCTGTTACTGTGATTTATTCCCTTCCCCTTGTCCTAGGACAAGAAACCACCAAGCCACACTTCCAGACTTGCTCACATGTATTTCACAAAGAATTAGCATGTGTTAAAACAGTGTAATGCATCTTAATGTGCCTTTCTAAATAATTAGGATCCCAAGGGTGGTAAGGACAATCTCTTCTGAGAAGCTGGAGCACAATGACTCCTCTTTCCAACTTTCGTATTTTCTTTTGTTTGGGGAAAGGGTGGAGCTCTAAAGGCAGGCAGGAAGGATTTCACCTTTGTTCTTAATTCATGAGATGCCTTAGAATAAATTTGGTTCCGGGCTTAGTCCCCCCCAAATAACTAAAGGAACAGTAAGTGAAATTCAATAGGAAACTGGTTATATTTTAAATGTACTTTTCTCAGCTCTGTATTCAACACTCAGGTTAGTGGCTGAATCTTCCTCCATATGACTCAACCAGTTTGTGATTTACTTCAATATGAGACTGATTGTCTAACTTGAACCTTGGCTACACCTTCAAACCCCCAGCTAAGCTATTCCTTCTCCACATTTTCTTAGATTTGTTCTAGTGAGAAGCTCATTGGTTTCTCAGCATTTCATAATGGAAAAGGTGCAGAACACACAAACCCAGGAATAAATAAATTGTTATTTTCCCTGTCCAAACCAAAGAGTTTCCAAGCAGGACTCTGAGCTTGGGGAGAACCACCCTGTGACCGCAGTGTTTGCCCGTTGCCAAGGCCTGTGGTAGGATTTGTATCCTTGTTGTGGTGACACAGTAGGTTCCTCCACCACAACTAAATGTCGTCCCCTACAAAATGGAATAATTTCAAACTCAGCATGGTAGCTAAAGCTCTTGGCTTTCAGAAAACGGGGACTTAAGCAGCAAATCAAACAACCCATTTTCTTTTTGATTCGGTGCCATTAGGTTGGCTTCTTAGAATCTTACTTTTTGTGCAGTAAACAAAATTCTCCCCTGCCCCTCGCTGTTGTGCACTGGTGCTGTGGCATGCAGGAGAATTCCAGGCACATGTGGAAAAAAATCAGCTGGCCATGGAAGATTTATTGGTGAGGCTATGGTCAAATTTTTTCTTTATATGCAATTCTAAGCCTGGAACAGCTTCCTTGTCTCCAGCAGATGAGAATGAAATCTGGCTCATTTAATCTAATTTTGTCTCCGCCAACAGATCCTTCTCTCTAGTTCTGGTCTGCAGAGCTGATTTTTATAATAGCTTCAATATGAAAAAAAAAAAAAAAAGGAGAGAAAAATTAAAAAAATCTCAGCATTGAGAGCCTCCAATGTTTCCTCTGGACATTTTGTAACTCCCACTGTTAACCAGTAACTGTGCATCTTTTTTATTTGGATAACGACGCCCGGAATACTGGGAGATCTAACATTTACTCAGCCACGACGATTTATCTTGTTATAACAGGATCAGCATCTCAGCTGGGGCTTCTGGATGCTACTCTACTACAAACAAAATTAAAACCACAGTCAGCTGAAATTAATAGTATACGGGGGACACGCCGTTGGAAGGACGTGTGGAGGATATTAAATCCCGACACAATACGTGGAGGGAAATGGATTTTTCCGTAAATATCAAACACGTTGGAGAGCAGCTATCACTGCGAACCAGAAGTGCTTCTTAAAATATATTGCTACAACATTCCTAATGGATGGCTTTCCTTGTGGCTACGTAAGGCATGTGCACGGTGCCAGCTCCCCCCACCTCTCCTCCGGCACTGCAATACGTAGGAAGCTTTTATTCCCAAACGGAGCGTTTGCCTGCTGACATCACATGCGGTAGGATCCTTTTGTTTGCCTGTGCCTCCTGCATTGAAATGTTTGTCTGAGTCACCAATCCCTTCCCCTGTGTCATGCTGCTTGCTTCAGAGCTTCTCCCTGACTCACAGTTCTTAAATTTTGACACAGCCCAGTTTTTGCTGCGTGGCAACTGAATGCTTTCCCTTTTAATATTTTATTATGTAATTTATACCTAAACACTATAATGATCCAAAAACCACTGCCTCTTTTTTATTTTTTTTTTTTGAATAGAGAGGTTTTATGACTCAGATTCAGCACTGAATTTTGTTTCAAGGCAAAGTCAGTTTAGTGTATACCAAATTAAAAATTAAAGATAGTGACTCCCACAACTTGAATTCTCCATTTAGCTGCTGGCTGAGTTTCCTCAGCTCCAACGTTATCGAGCTCTCTGCCAGAAAGGGGTCATCTGTGTGCATGTGTACAAACACTTCTCATAATTGAAGTAATTACTATTTTGCACTGCAGCACCTTTCTTCTCCTCTAATAATCTCATCGATTTGTTTTCTCTTAATAAAAAGAGGACAAAAGCCTGCTGTGCTTCCAGTGTACACTCATTCTTTCGGTTGGGAGTCTGGAGCTGCTAATATAGGGCTGGTGTCTGAGAAGTCTGGGTTTCCTCTTTATTAAAGCCACGGACAAAAAGAGATCCTGATTACAGCACCTCAGCCTGAAATGAAGAACATGGGAGTAAGGGCTGTGCAGCACTTTGGCTGGAGCCTGAGTGATGGCAAAGTATTCCTACTTACTGAGATGGGAACATAAAATTACTGTGCTGGATTAAATCTTTTGTCCTTCAGATCCAGCCTTTTATCTGTGGTGTTGTCACCGCAAGACAGACGAGAAGTTCAAAACAGAGCTTTGATTGTCCTTGATCAAGGACTTTGCAGCAGGTGAGGGCTGCAAAGCCCCGCTCTGGTGAAGCCTGCACTTCTCTTGCAGCACCCACAAAAAATTCCACTGCCTCCTGCCCTGCTCTGAGCAGGTGGTGAGCACAGTGCTGCACCCAACCCCCTTAAAATTGAGGTGCACACAAAGCCAGATGAGCGATCCAGACCTCTGTCATTCAATGTGCCGTACCAGATGCACTCATTTCATCGTGCTTTGACCCAGACTAAAAGAAGTAGTTGCATTCTCCATCCCCCTCAAAAAAAAACCCCAAACCAACCAACCAACCAACCAACCAACCACCCAACCAACCAAAAAAAAAAAAAACCACCAAAAAACAACCAAACCAAAAAAAACTCCCAGAAGTCCCTTGTAATAGAAAACATAGATTTTTATTATAAAATTAAAACTATGCCATACACAAAGGAATTTTCTGCCTCAGAAATTTGCATACTGCAGTCTTCATGTTAAAATAACATCCAGAGCAGGAACTGAAGTTGAGAGTCTCTCAGGCTGCCATTTACCATGCAACTGCTCTCCTGTAGCTCTTTTAACATTCAACTTTGGAATCGCTGCTGCTTCTCCTCCTCCTCCTCCCTCCGCGGCCGCTTCCGAGGGTTCATTTCAGTCCCTGCCGCGTTCTGAGCGACAGCTGGAGGCTGCACATCTCGGAAGCCATGAGGCTGGAAGATGTAAGGGAAATCATGTGCTAAAGCCTGTGTGGATATAAAGCGTGAGTAACTAGTTCCCAGCAGACCAGGGTAGGGGATGATGCTGCCATTTATTTTAGATGAGCGGCCTCAGAGCGTTTACAGACCCAGCACTGCAAACTTTTCAACACACGTGCCAGCTATTAACTGTGTCTCCTCATTTTCTTCCTTGAAGGTATTTTATTTTCACCACCCGGGCTATCATTTTCATTTCGCTGCTAATCACCCCTATGGCTATGAAGAACTGCTTCTCTGTAAATTCACTTATGTTGCCTATTTAAATAAATTAAAAGACAAATCCATCAGCTCCCCCAGAAGGAGGGAGATGACTGGATTAATTGCCTCAGTCATTTTCAGAAACAAAACTGTGAATTTCTACAACCTAGGATATTTTTGTTCCATGTACCTACTTAATGAACTGAAAACATCAATGAGACGTTGTAAGAGAACAGCAGAGCTGAATCAGTCTTGTAGACTGCAAAGACTGTTCCAGCATAGTAATTTATGGGACACAACGGGATGAAAACCTTTTAACTGCCAAAAACTAAATGCAGAAGTGAAAACTAGATGCTGCTACTCAGGAGAGTGCTTGAAGTGATCTATCTGACCTAGTACCACTTCTATTTTCTTTTACTGCAGCTCACAGTATAATGATTTTTAAGGAATTTAAAACACGAAAGATCTGGAAAATCAGTTAGTTCAACGTGTCACAGATGCAGATGGAGATACTGAGATGTTATGAAAACCTGCAACTGTCTGTCTTCCCATCTCCAGGCAAATGCTGTGCAGGGAGCACTGCTGACAGCTCAGGGAACACTCCCAGTGCAGACTTAGAGAGGAAAAGGGGTTAATCAGAACAGAAAAACTGCTTTGGTGATCCAAAATGCTCAGGTGGGGACAAGAGCATTTGAGGAACGCTGACATTTTGGGTTGGTGCAGTGTGAAAAAAGCAGGCGGAATTACTATCAGACATGTGACTCCTCCAAAATGCCAGCATGTCCCACACCAAGATCAATCCCAAACCCGAGTAAAAAACGTCTTGCTTACGTCTGCCATCCCTGCATTTCTATTTCTGAACGCCTCACCTCACCCAGCCCGGGGCTCTGAAAGGAACAAACTGCAAGAGGTGCCACAAGGGCAGGATCTGTGCAGTCCCTCTGCTATTATAAGCAACTCAAGTGTTATTCTAAAGAGCCTGATGGGGAATCTTCAAGTTTAATGTTTCACTGCTGCTTGCATCTAATCTCTGCCATTTCCCTGAGGCACAAAGGTGGATCTGTAGCCAAGAATCCACTTAATCCAGGATGCTGGCTCCCAGCAAAAGCATTCCAATGGTTATAAAGGCCATGATAAAGTGGGCTGCCTAGTATGGATGTCTGGCACTTGGTTCCAGGCATGCACCCTCAAAAACACATGAATTTTGTGTATATTTTTGAGGCTTCTTAGTGGGTTTGAGATGGTGGGGAGGTGGCTACTGGAAGCAAGGACGAAGCTCAGTCTCCTGTCATTTTGAATTGTTCCCTAATGTCCTCTGGCATCTACACACTGCAGCAAGACTGGCGGAGGTAGATGGCTTTATTACTTGAGCAGTGTTCCCACTGCTAACTTGGCAGACCCTCCTCAGTTCAGGGGAACGCTGACGGTTCCTACCCGGAATAGAGGTCCTGGATCTCCATCTTTCACCATGAAATAATCAGGTCACATTCCTGGGAAATCTGGGTGAATCAGCTGAGCCACTTACTCCCTTGTGCATAAATCAATCTACATTTCTATGCTCTGCATTTAAGAATGAATCCTCACCAGCCTGTGAAAGAGAGGGTTTCATGGGTGAGGTGTTCCACAGCCCCCAGAGTGGGCACTGACTCACCAGGGTGTCGGAAAGGACAGGGATAAAAGAGAACCAAAGCTTGGTCCTGGTTACACATTTCTCCATTGCCTTACAGGCCCTGAACAGCCAGTTTGTCCACGGTACCAAAGTACCTCATTTGCCCCCGAGTCTAAATATTTTTTAGGCTTAAGGAATTTATTATTTCTTTAATTATCTTTTTTGGTATGCTGGTTATACATAGATGTGCTAAATCTGACTTGGAAGCGTTGCACATGTATTTACGTCTTCCAGTTTAACTACAGAGATGGGAATGAGAAATGATAACAGCAGACTGCTATCATTAGCCCTGAATTTCATGAAAAAAAACAGGGATAATACATTTTTTACTTAAAGGAATCGTCTGCTGAAGCAGTTCATCAGGATTAAGGGGAAAAACACAGGGATAATCTCAAGTTTTAACTAATCTTGGATTGGGATTCACTCTCAACTGTATTTCAAGCCTGTGTGCATTCACACAGAAGAGAGCATGGCTGTTTTATGGTGCATATAAAACTGAAAGGAAAAGGCAATTAAACTGCCTAAGATAAAATCCATCTGCTTGTCAGCTGGAGAAAAAAGGACTCACATCACATGATCCAAACAACCTTGGGATGCAGCCCCACTTACCCTTCCAGTCTTTACAGAGCTAAGGGTATATATTTTCAGTTTTTTCTTCTGTCCAGGTGAATAGACACCCAGGAGTGAAGAAAAATCTGATTTCTCTTGGAAAGTTTGAAGATCTCGTCTTACGGCAGCGTTAAAATCTGCAGGAAATGCTATGGCAACGTGTTTCCATGAGGACACGTAGCAAATAGTTATGGCACATACCTATGGATCTGACATTTGAAGATGGAAGAGTGGAGGGGTGAGGGTTTTTTTAAACCTAAATGCAGCTTAGACAGCATGTATTCTCATTAATATGTATCTAAGCATTCCACCAAAGGAAATAAGCACAGGATTTAACTAGGGGTGGATGAGGACTCCAGCCACAAGCTGGAAGCTCCTTATATGGTAGTGACAGAGGAGAAAAATCTGTATATATTGGCTGGGTGTAGGGTAGGATGGAGCCATGAAAGAGAGAAATACAACCTGGGTTGTATCAGGCAACACACATAAAGCAGAGATGGGGAGATATATCTGGCACCGGTGAGACCTCTGGAATAATTCTGGTCATCCTGGTCCTAAAATGATAAACCCAGCTGGAACAGATTAAGAGAAGGGCCTACCTGAGAAGGGAGAAAACAGCCTGGCTCGTTCAAGTCTCCCAGATGAAGGCTCAGATTGTTCTCACTAACTGCACTTAGGCCAAAAGTTAACACCAAGGGCAGATAAAATAAGCAGCACTAGCAGCAGAACAGATGGGGACAGGCTGCCTGTGAGTTTGATCTGGAAATCAGAATGTTTTAACTCAGAGGACTAACTGCTGGGTCACTTTTCTAAGGAGAGGAGATGCAAAATAGTCACAAATCTGGAGACATTCCAGTATTACTGGTTACCTTCAGAAGGCAACACTACAAAAGTAAACACCGTTCTCAGATTTATCCCTGTGTCTGAAATTCCCTTTCCAGCTCCCAGTGTGCTCCCCTCCCTGACCCTCCATCCCAAAGGAAATACTGACTGTGATGTCATAGGGGATGGTTGCCTCCCTCTGACTCGGTGATTTGTACAACGTTGCCAACCTGGTAAAACAAAAAAAGCAGGTAATTATGACTAGTGAATACAGTAATAAAAATTCCAACTGACCCAATGACCAGACTCAAGTTTTCCCACAGTCCTGGGGTAGGTACCAGTGGGATTCTTAGGTAGGTATTTTCATATAGGTCATTTAAACCGTGGGTGGCAAATTCCCATCCTTACATGACCTGTCAGCTCACACACAATCTAGACCTACTAAAAAGAGTGAATGATTAATTAGCCTTGTTTCATCATGGTATTTGATGACATTTTTGGAACAATATTCATTATGAATTAATTCCTAATGTCACTTTCTTAAAATGCAAACAAAAAAGGTTTTGAGCACAACTCTCTCCTACTCCATTAATCCTTTGTTCACTGACCCCTCAAAGCTGGGGGAGACCTTCAAGAATTTCAATACTTCCAGGGAGGCTTTTTCCAGAGGTTTCATAAGCCTGTCAATATAACCTAGAGGCTGGAGAAGATGATGTTCTATTTCTAAGCCTGCCCTTGCCACTGACATACAGCATAACCTTGAGAAAATAGTCTCCCTTTCATTTCTCCTCTGACACTTCCCTGATTTTGGGCATTTAGACTCTAAGCAAAAGCCCCTGATTTGTGTCGTACAGCACAGTAAATGCTTGCATAATATTGACAGAAAATTGCAAAGCAGCTCAAAAGCAAATGGTTTTTGAACCAGTGCCAGGGCTGCCAATGTGCCCCATGCCCACCTCCCCAAAACTTACATAAGCCAATCTAGGAAGTGTTCTGCTCTCTGTATCAAGACACCCTGCCAAAAATCCTGTTAATTATTTTTGGGGTTTTTTTCTTCCTCCCTGAGGTGCCATTCTATTAGAGAGCACGTAATTACAGCCTGAGGAACACTGCCACTTCATGTTAGCTACACAGGGAATTCCTCAGAACATTGAAGTGGTGGGTTATACTCGACAAAATTGCCCAAATCTGAAGCTGCAGAAGCCAGGCTTTCACAAGCGCTCAGCTGGAGCCTCTGACTCAACAGGATCCTTCCTCCCAGCAATGAGAACCCTTGGAATTAAGCTCTGACATTTCCAGTAGTAGAGAGAAAGAAGGAGTCAAGTATCATAGTTGGCCAAAGCACATTTGAAAAAATTAAAAAAAAAAAGGCAAATGGATTCTCAAATGGTCTTTGTGCCTCAGCAACGTGATATAAAAACAATTTAACAACAAAACTACGATGGATTGTCAGGTATAGGCAGTTTATGTAAAAATGCAACAGCACTGAGTTATTTCTTCTTTATACAGAGGCAGTTGTAACCAGAACTGCTGTTTCTGCAGGCCTTGCTCCACGTAAGCTGCAGATTTAGATCAGTAAATAAGACACGTTTGTCTGTCTTTGGCTTATTTTCTGCAACTTGCTCTCTTGTCGAAGAAAAAAGTTCTTCTGATATATAAAATTAACTTTTGTTCACTCTGCAATCATTATGTTGATGCAACTTCTGTCTTATAAAGCCTGTTAACTAATCAGTGATGTTAATTTAATTCCAAATTAAACAGCCTGCTGTAATCACTCTGCATTGCCTTCAAACTTAGAATTTAAAAACAAAACCCCACAAGAAAGTGTCACTGCATTTCTCTTTCAAATTCAACAAGCAAAACTATGCACAACAACATTCCAGTAGCATTTTTGTTCCCTGTTTGCAGAAGATTAGGGAATTGAAGCACAGCTCCTTAATCTCAAGCTGCTGCATGGTGATAGTAGACACGAGACAAATTTAACTGACCAGGAAAGAGAAATGACCTTGCAATGTAGTGAAGAGGGGAAAAAAAGAAGCAGGAAACAGGGAAGATCTCACTGCAACAGACAGAACTTCCCACTGCTTTTAGAAGGGTCACCCTCATCCCTTTGGGTGTCTAAACCCACCCTTCACAGCTCAGCCCTGCCTTGGCTGTCAGAGCAGCTCTTTCTGTCTCCCTGCAGGTCACTGGAACTCAGTCTCTGGTTTCTGTCCAGCCTTGCAGGCCCATCCTGCTGCATCCCAAAGCAGAAGGGTCCAGTGGCTGCCCCTGAGGCTACAGCCCATCTTCCTGAGGGTCACTGTCTGGGTGGCTTTAAAGCCTCCATTGTCATCTCTGGCTTTGTACTGACTGCACCCTCAAACACCCAGGCAAAGAAATTCTACTCCCTGCTTACAGAATGCAGAGAGTAAAAAAAAAAAAAGTCTACTCAGACCCTAAATCCTGGCGTCTGAACAACTGCCATCAGGATGTTATACTCTGATGAGTCGTGGCATCTGCTCAGAAAGGAGGTACCCCCATGGTGGGGAGGAGGAGCCTGAGAGAGAAAACTCTCGAACCTCAGTGGGCTGGGACATGGCAGAACAAGGCCAGAAGCCAAATTCCAATCCCTGTCACACTTGTCATTACGATGACGTTTATTCTGATTCTCACTTACCTCTGACTGTTGTCCCAGTGAAGGATTAAACGGACGGTGGCAGCGTGTCCCCAGCTTTCTCCTGAGTGACACAAAATGACAGGCCATTTTAGTAACCTCCTATACCAGCACCACCATCTGATGCTGAAATTAGACCGAGTCTTCCAAAAAAAAAAACCACCCCACCATGACTAAAATGTATGTGCCTTTACTTGCAGTGATGAATCACATCTTTTTTATACGTACAAGGATTTCACAGCAAAATACACCAAGACAAGGAATAACCTCTGTACTCAGTGTGTTCTACAGAAATCTTGAGGTGATCCTTCCATATCTGTAGAAAGATTTTATAGGTGCCAAATAAAGGACAGGTACCAGACAAACCCAGAAAACAGGCAGCATGAAGAAAAGATTTGTCTAATTATTACTAAAGAAATCTAGTGAGTATGTCTAAATCCTGCTTCAAAACTGCAATATTCTGTCTCTCAGGCATAATTATGAGCAAACATCACTCCCTTTGGGATGCCAGCTTTGGGAGAAAGTCAATGATTATTAAAATATTAAGGGCCCCTGAAGCAGTCTTCTGCTTCTGACAGCAAAATGCAAAAGAACACAACCAAAAGCAAGGAGCAGGTGGGGGGTGTGGTGGAAGGAGAGAAGGAAGTTTGGATTGTTATCCTGCTCCTGGAGAACAGTCCTACTGTGTCGGCTCACACCTGACCACGAGCCCAGTCAATGTACAGACAGTTTTATGCCTGTTTATCCCAGGAGACAGTCAAAAGATGGATTTTTAAGCAGTCATTTTGCTGAAGTGCTCCAGGTCTCACCTGCCCCGCAGGCCCTGGAATCACTCGCTGCTCTCCACCACATCTCCAGCCCCACATGCCCCCTGTGCTCTGACATTCATCAGAGCCCAGAGAAGGAAAAATATGATTCTGCTGTAATGAAGACCTAGACCCTCTGGGCACCTTGCCAGACCTTGCTCCACTATATATCTAAGTTGAGATTAAAGATTTTGGCTTTCAGATGCGGTTCCGAGTCAGAGCTCGGAACACATTTTACAATGGGTACAAATTCCACCCCGGCACGTTTCCAGCTCTATTGAAAAATTCTACTGTAAAATGAGATATTTCTGAGCTAAACTGGCTGTAGATTAATATTTGACCTCCTTTCTAAATATATCTAGCAGAAATGTCTAGGAACACCCAGCTTAGCTATCAGTAGTGGGAAAGAAAGCTGTTCCCTTCACAAAGCTCTTGACTTAATACCTTGCAGCATCTGTGCTTTTTTCCTCTTTTTTTTTTTTTTTTTTTTTTTTTTTTTTTTTTTTTTTTTTTTTTTTTTTTTTTTTCATAATTAAGACCTTCCCTTCTGCTCAGGAGCTGAATAAGAGTTTAGAGATTAATGCTCTCATGAAATCTTAGAAAAATCTGTTTCTTAAGCTTACCAATCAATGGGGAAAAAAACCCCCACCTATTTAAGGGATGCAGTAGGTTTGATTAATTTTACTTGGGGGCTTGGTGCCGACCAAACTCCCTCAATAGTTCCTTTGGCTACAACCAACTGTGGAGGAGTGGGAGGTTCTCTAGCCTTTATGATGAGACTGTTGAAAAAGCATCTCCTCAGAGTGGGGCATAAAACCCACCTTGTAACCCACCAGCTCAATACTTGCATCGAGCCTATGGCATAAATTCACATTAAAATGAAGAGTTTTGTACCACTCTGGAATGCTCCTGTTGAGATATCGCTGTCTAGGATGAGGGGGGGGTTCTTTCTGCTTAAATATTTTACCAGCTGGTACAAAGTTCCATTTTTGAAGGAGCACACACCACTCAGTTTAATGATATTATGTGGTCACACATGCTCTGGTGAGACTCATAATCAGTTCAGCCTGAGGTTATGTCAAATTAAATGTTTGTGAAAGAAAATATGCGTATCTTTGAATCACAATGGAAAAATACATGATGTCTTTGAGTTATAACCAACTCTGAATTCCTTCACATTCCTTACTGCCCCTATGACTCAACAAACACAACAGCTCCCCAACAATGCTGGCTAGTGAAAAAAAAGACAGGCTCTATTAGCTTTAATTGAGTTTGTAGCCAGAAAGGCTGCCAAAAATAATCCATCAGAGAGCAAGAGGCAAGACTGACAAAAGGGGTCAGATCCTGGGAGCTGGGGCTGCCATCCCAGCTCCAAATTCCACATTCCTCACATTCCTGGAGGAGATGGTCTGTGTTTGTTCAGTTTACCCTACAACTGTGCCAAATGGTTCAGTGCCTGCACAGACACTGGGAACATCTTTGCCTTTGTGCTGTCCCCTTCTCCCTCCCCTCCAGAACAGGGGGATTGTTACTGAGCTCACAGAAACTGAACCTGTGCACAGAGGAGTTGTGCCCTTTAAAGCGAATCATAAAATAATACGAAGTTACAACCTGAAATAAGATTTAAACGCTGAACTTTTCCTTAATTTGTTGAAATCTCTACTTCAGAACTGTTCTCTTTTCCCCTGTGACTGCAGTAGAAGAGTCTGTACGAGGTACTCTGCTCATTACTGGGCAAAATTGAGCAGCCTGGAAAAAAAAAACCACTTAAACTGGCTCTGGGCAGGCTGAGAATCCCACACAGAACTTCCCTCTCCATCATAACTGAGAGTTCCAGCGATGCAGCAAATATGAAATGCCTTTGCAAATAATTAATGGAACATGTTCAAGGGTAATGGGAAAATAAACAATTTAAATTGCTTTGGAGAGGCAGCGAATGGTTCTCAGGGAATTTAGGAAATTGCAGCGTAGTTTGAGGTGTGCAACCATTAAGCAAAGTTCTTCTTTGAGGGCTTTAACCTCTTCATCACCCCATTCCCGCTCGAGGTTTACTGCTCCCAGGTACATTCTTTGGCTGATCATTCAGCAGCCAGTTTCAGTCTATATTATTGATTTATCAGAGTTTACTTATTATTTAAACAGCTCAAGATTACTTGGCCACTTTTGGCAGAAATGGACTGGGAGACAATCACCCAAAACAGCTCAGAGTGTGGTGGTGACATCCAGCTCAGCTGTGACAGAGGTAAGTCCACAAGATCCTCAGGGGAAGGTGCAACCCATCAGCTGCACATCTAAAAACCCAGTTACTCAGAGAGTTCTGAGTTCCTACTGCTTCCCCAGAAAGGGTCTGTCATCTTAAGGAATATTGTTAAATCTAGTATCAAATTCAGTATTATAAATTTTGGGTTAAAATTTCTAAAAAAGAAGTCCATCAACACTTTCAACCTGTGAGTTTCACATACCAATTTTCATCTCACAAGCTAAACACCTACCCAGAGCAGGTACCAACGTGGACTGGCTTTGCCCGATTCTTGTTGTCATTTGGTTTGTCAGAACCACCTAAAAGAGGAAACAGAAGCAAGACAAGTAAGAAAATCTCCAGGAAAGCAGCATATTGGTGGGAGGGAAGAGAGGGATTTTTCAAAAAGCTTTCACTGATAAAGTAGTTGCTCAGGCAAAACTCTTGGCAACTGTGATGAATCTTCCGTGTTAATGGGAAGAAACTGTAGATGTGCCTCATCTTTTCAAAACAAAATAAGAGAACCCTGCAGAGTGCATTTTTTGAATGGAAGGGAGATTTCTTTCATTCACGACTTTGAAGAAACCTAAATTTCTCCCTTCCTGAAGGGTTGCAAACCCCAAACAACTTGTTTAGCCCACCGCATTTGTTCTAAATACCGTTTGGAGCTGTGCTTGGATGCACTGACCCTCCACGAAGAGAGAGCTCTCAGTCACTGGGATGAATGAACTTGGTGGTGCTGCTCAAAACACACATTAGCCCAGTGATTAACCGAATTTCTCTGCCTTGTAGTCTAAAAATGCACAAGTGGGTACAATCTACAAAGAGAATGGAAGTGAACAGACAGAGCGGGGGAGTGTTTTCGCAGCACGAATCACTCGTGGGAGGCTCACAGACAGTCTAGGTTAGATCCCTGGTAGATGTGGGGGTGGGTGAGACAGAAAAGAGCCAGGAATATTAATCACAAAGTTCATTAAAAATGAAAAATAATAAAAAAAAAATTGTACCTATCTTAAAAACCCCAGGGGTTTTTATTGTTTGATGAGCTTGTAGGATTCTTGCTTGAGCAAGCGTGTGAGAGCAAACATTTCCACTGAGCACACAGGGTACAGCCCAAAACATTTACACAGCTGAAAGCCCAGGACATATATATTGCACATTTTAGAGAAGTAACTCATCATAAGTGGATGGTAAAAGCCCCAAATAGGCTCCCCCATCTCACTGCTGAAGAAGGGCTGGGCTGGGCATCCTCACACAGCCCACTGAGTCCAGCTTTAGAAACACAAGGGCCTGACTTCCTACCATATTAGAGCATCCAGGCTGCCTGACAAGCAATCCCTGGCACGCAGGCTGGATTTAGAGCTCATGGAACTAACCCAGACACCAACTGAAGTTCCCCTGAAGCTGTGACTGATCACTCCTTTAGCAAGAGTTTATTTAGCAAGCCTTTGGACTAAACTGCTCCCTGGCTCAGAAGAGATAAATTACATATATTTCCCTCGACCAAAGGAAAATACAGTGTCCAATGACAGCTGCTGCTGCTCAAGGTCACCAGGTACCAAGCTGTGAGTAAGAGGACTCGGGAAATCAGAGGCTGTGCAAACCCAGCAGCCATGGAACATCCATCTCCCTGGTACCCACAGCAGCAGGAAGAAGCTCCATAACTCACACCAGGGAGACAGCAAAGGCACCCTTTCAGCAGCCAGCCCAGTCAGAACACGGAGCTGGGCTCTTCCCCTTCCCACATCTGTCAGTGGAAGCACAAGGAGAGGCTTATTTTTAGCAGCTGGGAACAAAAGCAAATTGCGCCAGAGAGTTGTGGGTGACAAGGTCACAAATCACCTGGAAACTGTTAGAGAGGCACAAGCACCATTTTGAGGCTGTGGAAGCTCTAATTCCTGAACAATGCTTCTCGGAGCTGGGAGAGACTCCCAAAACAACTTCTGGAACAGCTGCAGCTTCCCAGTGCCATCTGCTGGTTGCGGGGCCGCTGCCTCCATGTTGGCATCAATGACGTAGAAACAATGCCCAGGAAGGAAGCCCTGGGTTTCCATGGATGCCAGAAGAGCAAGGCAAACCAGCAGATAAAGTGGTTTTCCTCCCTAAGAACAGCTCCTCCACTAAGACCAGGGTTTGTTTTTAAACCAAGAGTGGCAAGTTGTGTTGGAACTGCCGAATGCTCCGACGTGTTTTCATGTAAAGCCACCAAAGGAGCATTCCTTGTCCAAGCAAATCATTAGAGATGATGGGAAACAGCGTGACAAACTGACCTGCTGCCATTTAATTAAGATCCACAGGATGCTGTGAATGCACATTTTACTTATTTCCCACCTTTTAGGTGTTATGCCTGTGTGATCCATCTCCCTCTACAAACTAAACCCGGCAAGGACGAACGTGGAGGACGTCCTTGCAGTTTTATTTTGCTGCTCAGAGACAACCACAAATCACATTTGCTTAATTCTTTGCAGGACATTTACTCCCAAAGTGGCATCTTCAGGGATTCAGTGGACTCACCGCTGCTTTGTAGTCGTTGGCTGTGATGATGAGCTGCTGTGCCAGGCCGTTCAGCAGCCTTGTCCGCAGCGACAGGTCCTCAAAGTCGTGGCGGAAAGGAAAGGCAATTCCATCAATCACCACCAGTCGGACCTAAACGCAGAGGGAAAGGAAAAAAACCACCATTACCACCCTGTAAAAAAAATGACAACAAGCAGCAATACCTATTTTTAAGTGCACTTACGGTGTTTTACAGAAGGTGAGGGCCATCTTTTATTTCATACCTCGATGAGCATGACCACGTAACATCTATTTCTCTATATATATCAGTGACAATCAGCACCTCAGAGGAGTGCAGGTGAAGGGCCTCAAGCTCCAAACGCTCCAGAACATGTGCTGAGTGCAGGCCTGCATCACGCACAGGGACCAGCTCAGGCCAGAGCTGCCCCAGCTCAAACAAAACGCTGCAGGAAGCTCAAAAAACGCTCCCCAAGCTCTCCCATGAGTTAACCCAGCACAGAACTGCCCTCCCAAATGTCCCCTTTCAGCTCACTTGCAGCTACCTGACTTCTCTGCACCTCCTGGTATGGAATACAAAATAACAAAGCTGGACTTAAAGCCTTGCAAGGGAGAAGATGGAGAAAATGATCATTAAACATCAGAGCTGTACTTCTAACACTAATTTATTTCACCTTCTCCCTCAAAAGTTAAATCCAACCCCAACTCAAAATTCATGCTGTCTGTAGTCGCTGTTGAGAAAACTCAGCTCAGATCAGTGATCTGAGAAACACGGAATTTAAGGGATGCCTAAAGGTATTCCAGACACACTGCAATGGGATCTGTCTTGCCTGAAGATGTTTGCTTTGCTGAATTATTTCTTTTGTAGCAGTCATTAGCTGAAGTCAGAGCACGATGCAGCTGCTGGCTCATCACCCTCAAGACACTGTATAAACATTAGTCTGGGATTTTGATTTATTCTAACTTCATTTGTTGTAGATGTTTTGATGACCCAAGTTTGTCTGGAATACAGAAGGGAGATGGATGGTCTTACAGTGCCTGCATGTTCAGATGTCACTCACATCCTCAGTATCTTCAAGTTCCTGCATTAATGCACAAGATAACAAATTGGAAACAACACAAACCCCCTGATTTTCTGTATTATTGATTTAACTCATTACTGGAACATACAAGCCTGCATAAACATCACTCTGTGAAATGGCCCTGGGCCTCCAAATGAAAAAAAAAAAAAAATCTTAATTTGCAAAAGAAGATTAAATAGTTAGAATTGAAAGGAGATATTCTTCTGTTTTCTCATTTTTCCTCCTTCCTACAAATTCTTTTTTATGAGCCTGTACATCTTCTTCATGCCTAATTTCTTTATGAGCAATCAGTTTAACAGTATAAACATGACTCATGCTATGAAGGAATGTATACATGGTTATATAACTTGTCTATCAGATGAATATGTCCAGGTAGGATGCAATTTAGTCAATTTTCTCCCAGTTGCACTTGTTATAAATAGTAAAAAAGAAGACTTAAAGTATTAAAAGTAGGGCTTTGGTAACATCTTCCTTCTCCATGTCAGGTTGACTCGACCAGACCAAGCTCTACCTTAAAAAATTCAGTTTATTATGACAAGAATATTTTCTAACAGTCTTTCTCATATTAATAACAAGACCTCTAACTAATTCATATTTCCAAATGACACATTTGGATCTCTACATCTTTCTATCTCTAAATCTCTACAACTATGTCTCTCTTAAAAAAAAAGAAAAAAAACCCTAAAATCTGGAGTTTCCCTGTGGTCCCAGACTGGGCTCCAGAGGGATCAGACTAATTTTAATGAGAGCTGGACTGCAACGAGCAATCTGTCAAGTCACTTATAGCCTGTCCAAGGAGTCAGCAGAAGGTCTGGTGGTTCTCCTGCAACCTTCAGTACTTCAGGCTGCAGGCCAAGCACAGATAAATCAGCACAGATGGTACCAGGGAGCTGCAGCCCAGTGTAACTGTGCTAATGAAGCCATGTACTTTCCACAAGAGCAAACACAACAGGGCACCGTTAGTACCTGGCAGAGAAAGGGGAGTACCAGACTACAGCAAGCAAAAGTGAGACTCCCATCTGCGCCTTCAAGAACACACAACAGCTTCCAAAAGTGGTAAAAAAAAAAAAAAAAATTGGAATATATGCAAAAGGCAATCTAACTAAACAACGGGGATTTGTGCTCTGATAGAACCAGCCACCTTCCCCAAATCCTGACAGGGAGGAATCCAGAAATCTGGAAGGGAGGTGGTGATAATCTGCCTTACAATAGCATTTCTCTAAGACATTGGGTACCAGGAAACTTTCTGGCTGTAGTCCACCCAAGAGTCAGGCTGCAGGCTCTGGTTGCTTGGAGCAACAGAAGATGTACTGGAAAGGAGGAGAAAAGTCACTTTCTGGATGCCAAGATGGTGCAGGATGTTTCTGGTCCTCAGTGATCTTCTAGGACCAAGAAAAAAAAAGCCTTTCTGATCCCATCATTGTGGTCATCACAGGCACACCTGGCTCAGAGACTCTTCTGTAAAGCAGTTCTGTGATGATTCATAACTCAGAGCTCACAGAAATGTAGCAACACGTGGCAACACAGATCCAAACTGGAAATCCAGGATGATGGCAGCAGTGGGAGCAAAAGCAAATTACTCTCAAGAGTAATTGGGATGGGAATGAAAAAGCAAACAAGCAGAAGGCTTTACATTTGTACTCTGGCATCAGCCAATGCGTTACTGCCAAGCTGACGAGGTACCAAGGTGTTTACTCATGTTACTCTTCCTATAACAGGAAAAATCTTCAGTGTGAAGATGAGTGATGTGTTCTGATAAGCCTGCAATAACCCTTACCTTGGAATGCTCTGAGAGGAACTCTGGGAGGAGGTAGACCTGGGCAAGGAGCTCTGTGTAGTCACGACAACGGAAGTAATATATGTGGGAAAGGATACTTTCAAGAGAGAAGGTCTCCAAAGCTTTCAGATGATCTGAGAACAAACAAACAGATGAATAAATGAGTCAGAAGTCTGTACGAGCATATTGTTACTTTCATCGTTCCACCAAACTGTGCCCTCCACACATAGCAACAGCAAAGCCCCCAGAAACAGAACAGCCAAGGTGGAGATGTGGAGACATACCTTCCATCTGGCTGGAAAGTCAGGAAGGTGGTGAGCAGATGCTCTCTCAGCACTTGCACACACAGACACCGGAGCCTCCGAGGGAGGGCTCCAAAAATGAAACATTTATTTCTGAAACAAGAACTCTTCCAGTAAATCATGTTCAAGCCAGAGCACCACCAGAGGCCATCAGGGACTATTAATCACCCTTTGTTTAATGTACAGGACAGCAGCTCATTTAATACGGTGTCCTTTCACCTCACTTGGAGCAGAAGTTTGGTGCATAAATTCTCCAAGAGTAACACGGAAGTTGTGTCACTATCCCCAACAGACTGATGACTTAGAGAATAAAAAATCCTCAAAAAAAGCAGCCTGGCTATATTGATCTTATGGAGGAGCTGAATTCCAGCTACAGTTTTACTGTATGGGGCTTCAGCAGCAATAATGCTTTAAAAAGTTCTGCTGTTCCTCTTCTCTTTCCCCACCCAACCCTGTGTTGCAGCACATAATTCCTCTGTTTTGCTGAACAGAGTTGTGTTTGGGTTCAGCTGCAAATTTGATCTTTCAAGAGAAAGGAAAGGAAGGAAAGGAGGGGAGAAAGAAAGAGAGAGAGAGAGAAAGGAGAGAAAGAAGGACAGAATGAAGGAGAAAGGAGGAGAGAAAGGAGGAAAGAGAGAAAGAAAGAGAGACAGAAAGAGAGAAAGAAAGAAAGGGGAAACACCAAAACCTCACATACCTAAACCCCTCCCAAATCATCATGTAGGAAAAGAATTATTCTTAAAGTAAACCAGCTCAGTCTGCAGCACAGCTCCAGACACTGATGCAGTTCAGGGTTTGATACACACAGGTGGAAATAAAAGGCTGCCAGCAAGAACTCCCTAAGCCCCAACCGTAGCACTGCAGCCTACAAGACACTTGTTTCTCTCCATCCCTGCCTACCAGGCAGAGAGAGACAACTCAGCCACGTACCTTCCTCTTGCTGAGCCTCAGCAATGAGCTGGCAGTGCTGCACACAGGCAGCTGCAATATCCACCACTCTGTCTACCATGAAACTCCCCTCGGTGTCGATGAACACAGCTTCCCCAGCGACGCCCCCAAAGCATTCCGGGATCTGCACGTCTACTGCCAGCTGCATACTGCCATGGGAGAGGGAGGAGAGGGAGAGATTTACACCACAGGCCCACTCCTGAGGTGACATTTCTGCAGAGAAAAACATGGAACAGGGAGCAGCACAGCCATTCTCATCGTTAGGTTAAACAAGAAGTGATTCTTGGCGGCAGGAAGGTGACCCAGGGGTAAAATACCACAGCTGTGTTTTCCCCACGCCGGGCGCTCCGCAGACCTCGGTGATTTTTGTCAGCTGCACACCCCCTCCCAGGATGTTGTCCAGTGCTGAGCAGAAGGTGATGATGAAGCCCTGGGCTTGCTCTTCCTCCAGAAGCTCCAGGGCTGTGAACTTTCTGGTGGTGCCTGACCCCCCAGCAGTCCTTGCTGCATCCCCGTGACATTCCTGCCTCACCACCTGCAGGGCTTCCAGAGCCTCTTCCTTGGAAATTCCGATTTCTGGAAAAGTCAAAACCACGAAACACCACCTTATTTTTATAATCAGCGATTAATTTAAAGAACGATGAGGTAATTCACCATGTCTGACAGGACATGACACAGAATTATCCCTGTCCACCCTTTTGGAGTAACACACACACATAGCCCTGGGACTAATGGTGGGATTTTCAAAAGGACTCCGAGCAATGACGTGCCATGTTTGGGGTTCAGGTGAAAGCAAGTTATCTGCAAATAATAACAAAATCGAAGTATGTGCAGACCATAATAAAATCAAACCTGCTGATCACAGCTGGATGAGATCTGGCAGAGCAATTCCCCTACTCTGCACCAAATGCACTATCATAATTATTTCATTTGAAGCAAATAATGTCCTGTAAAAGAAGCCAGGTTGCAGATCAGTAAGTGCCAATGATACCCATGGATTGTGCTCTGAATTCTCAGGGCTGAGCACTTGATGCTTCATTTTTATCTTTGAACCACAGATCAAAGAACAGAGATGAGATACCTGCAAATATCTTTAAACAAAGGTCTGCCTTGACAGACACAGCTACTCCATTTTGATTTTCACAGCAAAAACTATTACCACATATTATCACAGACAACAAAACTACTGATAACCAAAATCTCAGACTGGTTTGGGTGGGAAGGGGCCTTAAACATCATCCCATTCCAACCCCTGCCATGGGCAGGGACACCTCCCACTATCCCAGGTTGATCCAAGCCCCGTCCGACCTGGCCTTGGACACTTCCAGGGATGGGGCAGCCACAGCTCCTCTGCCCAACCTGTGCCAGGGCCTCACCACCCTCACAGGGAAGTGTCACGACACACTCCGTATCGAGTCTGCAAATCTTATTTGAACCTCATGAAGGAGGTAACTTCCTGACTCCACAGAAGCTTATTTTGTTTAAATCGCATAGAAAAAACAGAAGAAGGAAGTTGTGGACAGCAGAAGAAGGAGACTGGCAGAATCCTCCCGTTTTCCTGCATCCCGTTTGCATCCATCTCTCAGTGTAAGGCAGATCTACCAGAACCTTGTGAACCTCACTCAGTATTTACTGTGCCCGTTTCCCGGGCCACACGGAAGCCTCAGCAAGGGGTGCCAGAGCCGGGAAGGGGAAGGGGGAGAGCGGAAGGGCGCGGGGAGGCCCCGCGGGGCCGGAGCGCCGCCGGTACCTTTGCTCAGGCCGCAGGGGCCGGTCTCCAGCAGCTCCTGCGCCGTCTGGAAGCCGGCGGCGGCCAGGCGGGCCCGCAAGGCGGGGGACAGCGGCAGCGAGCCCACCTCCCGCTGCATTGGCGGCACCGGGAGCGGCACCGGGATCGGGAACGGGAACGGCACCGGGAACGGGAGAGAGCGGGAAGGGCGGGTCACGCCCCCATGGGCGGAGACAAGCATGGGTCACGCCCCCAACTAATGAGTCACGCCCCACGGGTGGAGATGGATGACGTCATTCTTTTGGTCCCGCCCCTGCTGTCGGGCCCCGCCCCCCCTCCGGCTGCCGCGCACGAGGCCGGCGGGGCCTCTGCGCATGCGCGGGGCGCGGAGCCGCGAGGGCGGTGTCGCGCGTGGGGGACCCGTTCGTGTCGTTGGGTCGTTTTGTCCCGGCCGGCCCGGGGACCCCCAGCCACAGCCCTTTGCATCGCCTGCCGCAGGTGCTCAACTCGGAGATAAAGTTACCTTGTGGTGTTCTGCGGCTTTCGTGACGTGTCGTGCCTTTTCCCAGCCCTGTTGGGGACAGAAGATGGCTCATCCCGTCCCTCTCCCGTTTCCATGCCCAGTCAAGCTTGGAAGTGTAAAAGGGGACTCCCTGGAAGCCGAGCTGCATGACTATGTCAGGGAGGGGAACTATGTGAAAGTGAAGAAGCTTCTGAAAAAAGGTAAAAGCTAAGTTTAAACGAGTAGTGGCAGAAAAGATTTACTTTTGTCCTGTGTACTTTTATGTCTGGTAAAAAATAGTCATCAACTGCCTGCACAGTTCAGTTTCTGAGTGAAATATATACATATATATATATATACATGCACAAAATGGTTTAGAATTGCCATTTTCTGAAAAGTGGGAATGGTTAATGGATAAAAAAAAATATATTAAAATGATACATTCAAATAATTTAAATTGAACATATAAATGTAAAGAATAAATGAAATATATATAAATGAACGAAATATAAGTAAATGAAAATTTAAAGAATAAATAAAAGGTCCCTGGAATCCTGGGATAAAATAAAATTTTATTAAAATAAATTTTAAAGAAAACTAATAATTTACTGGTAAGGTGCTCATAAGGAATTGATTGAGGCATTGTAAAATTGAAACTCTGAAGCTCTTCTATAGAAGTATTCACCTTAAACGGGATTTTTATTCAAGCAAAGCGCTTGAGGTGTGGGTTAGGTGCTGTTATTTTAACATCCAGATTTGAAAGCAGAGAGGAACAGGGGATTGCGTAAATGTAACACAATTCTTAATGCGGTTCTATTCGTGTTTTACGATCGAGGACGTCCGTGGGTTGCGCTGTTCCAGAGCTGCGGCATCTCCCGTGTCCGCGGGGGCTGCGCGGGGCGGGGCCCGCTCCTCCGCGCGTCTGCGGGCGAGCGTCTGATTGGACAACCGGGACAGAACATGCAAACGAGGGGGGCGTGTCCCGAAAACTGACCCACGCGGCCGTCCCGCGCGCCGCGGGCGCTCCCGCGGGGCTCCATGAGCGCTCCCGCGGCGGCAGGGGCCGGGCGGGGGCGCGGGGGCCCGTCGCGGGTGGGTGCGAGGTGGGGTGTGTGGGGGCGGCCGTGTGTTAGAGATGCGTGCGCGCGGGTGTGGTTGGGGAGTTGTGGAGTGGTTCGGTAAGACTATACTTTCAGGGATCATTTCTGTAGTTGGTCACTAGAGGAGAGTGATCTTCCCTGATCGGCGTCACAAACCACGAGGAGGAGTGTTGTGTTCTCTCCTGAGCGCGAAGCGGGCGGGCGGTGCTGCTTGGGCAGGGGCCGCTCGCCATTGATGACCGTTCCTGGGCCTCAGTGTGGGCCCGGGAGGGAGAGAACACGGGCTGAGTGGTTTATGCCCTTTTTTATTGTAGTTTAAAAGTCAGAGCTTAAATAGTAATCAAATAGAATCACGCCGCGCAGCTGCAACTCGCAGCCTTTCGCTGCTCTCTGCGCGCAGCAGAGAGGTTGCGGGCGATCCCCAACCACAACGGGTGCTGTGGAGTTGTCTCTCAACTCTGTGCGGGATTCACCTGTCGTTAGTTGTTGTGAGAATCTGCGTCGCTCAGGCTGGACCTGGAGCATGGTAAACCCTTCATCCCATTCTGTCGGGGGTTAGGGAGAAACTGCTCCGTGCTGTTCCGCGCAGAGCCATGAAGAGGTGATAGGTTGGATCCTGATGCCAAAGGGTGTCTGCTAGGACGGGGAGACTGCTCAGTGTTGTTCTGTCGGATAGGGCGTGCAGGTCCGTGATGCCCTGGCTTGATCAGAGATGTAAAGTGTTCACGAAGTGGTGCCCTGTGGCGTGATTCTTCTTGTTCGTGAGCGTGTGCCTGGAACCCTCGGGAGCGCCTGGAAGTCAGTCCACCCCCTCGGCACCAGGTGTCAGTCGTACCGCGCTGCTGATGTCGGTGCCGGGGCTCTTTGTCCTCTGTCGGTGCGGGGCAAGGAGAGCACGCAGCTGAGACGGTCCCTTCTATCGTGTCGCGACAGCGAGCACAGCCCGGGCCGCCACGAGCAGTGGGGGAGGGAGGAGCGGGGGCGGAGCCGCCCGGCCGCGCGCCTCTGATTGGGCAGCCGAGGCAGAACATGCAAACGAGGGGGGCGTGTCCCGAAAACTGACCCACGCGACCGTCCCGCGCGCCGCGCGCGCTCCCACGGGGCTCCGTGCTCCCTCCCGCGGCGGCGGGGGCCGGGCGGGGGCGCGGGCGGCCCGTCGCGAGTGGGTGCGAGGTGGGGTGTTTGGGGGCGGCCGTGTGTTAGAGATGCGTGCGCGCGGGTGTGGTTCGGGAGTTGTGGGGTGGGAGGGTAAGACTATACTTTCAGGGATCATTTCTGTAGTTGGTCACTAGAGGAGAGTGATCTACCCTGATCGGCGTCACAAACCACGAGGAGGAGTGTTGTGTTCTCTCCTGAGCGCGAAGCGGGCGGGCGGTGCTGCTTGTGCAGGGTCCGCTCGCCATTGATGACCGTTCCTGGGCTCCTGTGTGGGCCCGGGAGGGAGAGAACACGGGCTGAGTGGTTTGTGCCCTTTTTTATTGTACTGCCAAAAATAGACTCGAAAGGGGATTGTTTATGTGTGGTGTCCTCTGGGCAGCACTTTCCTCAGGCGATTTTCTAAATATGATACCATGGAGTGCCGGGGCCTGGTTTAGTGTTTGTTGCCTTGAGGGCTGAGGTTTTTCAGTGCAGAGAAGTGCTTTTGAAGCTTGTTAGGACGTGGCCGTGCGTTTACTTGATGGTGACTTGGTGCTCTGGAGTTGTTACAGATCACAGAATCACACAGTCGTTGTGGTTGGAAAAGCCCTCAAGTCCAACTCTTCCCCCAGTGCTGCTGTGTTACCACGAGCCCATGTTCCCAGGCGTCACATCCACACGTCTTATAAATCCCTAGAGGAATTTATAAATCCCTAGAGGGATTTATAAGCTCAGCCACTGCCCTGAGCAGCCTGCGCCAGTGGTAACCTTTTTGGTGAAGAACTTTTTCCTAATACCCAATCTAAACCCACCCTAGTACAACTTGAAGCCGTTTCCTCTCATCTTGTCACTTGCTACTCAGTTTACTGGCCCCTACCTGCTACATGCTCCTTTCAGGCAGTTGCAGAGAGCGAGAAGGTCCCCCCAAGCCTCTTTTTTCTCCGGGCTGAGCCCCCCCAGCTCCCTCAGCCACTCGTGATGCTCCAGCCCCTTCTCCAGCTCCATTCCCTTTCCCTGGACACGCTCCAGCCCCTCAATGTCTTTCTTGTCCTGTAGGGGCAAAAACTGGACACAGAATTCGAGGTGCGGCCTCAGTACTAGTGTTGAGTACAGGGGGTTGGTCACTGCCCTGATCCTGCTGGTCACACTGTTGCTGGTACAGGCCTGGATGTCACTGCCCTTCTTGGCCACCAGAACGCATTGCTGGTTCGTGTTCAGCCACCGCCACCCGGTTCCCACAGGTCCTCTTCCTCCAGGCAGGTTTCCATGCACACTTGCCGAAGCCTGGAGCATTGCAGGGGATTGTTGTGATCCGAGTGCATCCATCGGGAAGTGACGGGGGACTAGGGAGAACCCGCTCGGGATTCGCTTTCCTTGGCGCGTTGTGGCCCCCACGCGGGGCGGGCGCCGCGGCGCTTCCACGAGCCGTGAGGGGAAAGTGGGAGCGGGGGCGGAGCCGCCCGGCCGCGCGCGTCTGATTGGACAACCGGGGCAGAACATGCAAACGAGGGGGGCGTGTCCCGAAAACTGACCCACGCGGCCGTCCCGCGCGCCGCGGGCGCTCCCTCGGAGCTCCGTGCGCGCTCCCGCGGCGGCAGGGGCCGGGCGGGGGCGCGGGCGGCCCGTCGCGGGTGGGTGTGAGATGGGGTGTGTGGGGGCGGCCGTGTGTTAGAGATGCGTGCGCGCGGGTGTGGTTGGGGAGTTGTGGTGTGGTAGGGTAAGACTATACTTTCAGGGATCATTTCTGTAGTTGGTCACTAGAGGAGAGTGATCTTCCTTGATCGGCGTCACAAACCACGAGGAGGAGTGTTGTGTTCTCTCCTGAGCGCGAAGCGGGCGGGCGGTGCTGCTTGGGCAGGGGCCGCTCGCCATTGATGACCGTTCCTGGGCTCCTGTGTGGGCCCGGGAGGGAGAGAACACGGGCTGAGTGGTTTGTGCCCCTTTTTTTATTGTGGTTCAAAAGATAGATCGAAGATAAGAGTGCACCTTACCCCACTGGGTTTATTCTGGGTCAGTTTGCTCTGTGTTCCAATGCAACCTCATTGCCCTCCACTGGATTCTCCCCTTTGCTTTTTCCCTTAATGTAGAATGGAATTCATTCTTCTGAACCAAATCGCATCAAGAACACAACACTTGCCTAATTCCTATCTGCTGCTAAATAATTTAGTGATTTATTAATGCCCTCCCCAAGTGATTTCTGTACTTATCCACCTGTGCTTTCAGAGATGGATATGTGAGTTATACATCTTGTCAGTAAGTGCTTATATGCACTTATAAGTATATATATGTACATAATGTACATATATATAATAAATATACAAATATAAATTATATATATAAGTATATAATAAACATTTGTACATAAATATATGTACATATACAAATCATGTATTTATATGCACATGTATGTACATATCCTGTACTTACATGTAATATTTAATGTGATATATATAAAGAATGTG